GTTGATCCACTTATGAAAACGTGAGAAAATGATGCATTTTCGGATGGATCTAAGGATCTTTGGGTCTTCCTTTTCAGGTTTTTTCGTTACGAGTTTTGAGGGCTGATCCATCCTCCGTCTGGTCCGTGTTTTAGGTACCTCCGTCTGTTCAGTGTTTTAGGTACATCAGTGCCTCCTCTCTCACCCTATTTTTGTTCTTTTTTTCCTTGCTTTTTGGTTCGGTTTTTTATGCTTATGTCTGATACATAAGTGTCCACGTATAGCCTTTTGCTATACGTGAAACCATCAAGCAAGGTCGCAAGTAGGTTGGTTTTGTTTTGGGGCTTAGGGCGGTGATGACAAAGACACACCGAAGATAGAGCAGAATGATATGTTATTCTACGACATCGGGATCCGATTCAGGATTCATCAGGATCTGATTCAGGAACCCGGTGAGCTGTAGGATGACAATATCATTCACTGACACAAGACTAGCGGGAGCTGACCCAGACATTCTTAGATTGTTGGTAGCCTTATGCCTGACAGCGCGATTGACTCGTGGACAATTAATTTTCAAAAAATTGATAAAAAACAAATTTGATAAGAACAGATACACCTTTTTAAAAAAACAAAAATACATTTTTCACTACAAACAAAATTGATACAACCCACTTTTTGCATGTTTGAAGCCTATGTGCATGCTAAAAATATAAATTTTAAATACATTTTAAACATCGATTTTCCACCTGTTGATCATCTGTTCGGGCTAAGGAGTACCCTCCTGAGTTAGGTTTGATAGGACACCCTTCTAGTTGAGTGGCGGGCTTTATACATCCGGGTGACCGAGTAGCCTTCGACCCTCGAGTACTAATATATAGTTGAGCCTAGCCCCGACCCGAGTGCTTGCGGTCCCCTCTTTTCGGACTTTTTCATATGTATTATCGAATTTTTTGGACAAAAGCACTCATGGTCTCTTTTTGAGATTTTCCCGTGTTTTCTACGATTTTAATCGATTTGTTGATTCGTCGATTTCCTCGCATTTCTCTTGTCGTGAGTTTTTTTGACGATCTTTCTTGAGATTTCTGGATGACGTTTCTTTGTTTTCATTTATATAAAACATTTCAGTCTGTTTCCTCAAATTTTGTTGCTTGTACCTGTTGCATCAATTACACCTAAGGAACAGCGGACCTCCCAGGTATACATGTTTGTTCTATGTTTACAACATGTTACTTTCTTGCAAATCACCTACCTGCTATATTCTTTTTACTTTTCCTTTACACAACATGTTGTACTGCTTTCTTTACTTCATACTCTACTGTTTATTTTGTGCTACATATTCTACTGTTATGCTATACACTGTGCAACTTCAACATGTTATTTATATAATATCTGAAGAGCTACAACTATATGGCCGTTGGATTTGACATCATAACCTGACACCCTGAAAAATTTAAACTCGTCACGACAAGGAGCTTGGAACTAGCACGGTGGGCAACACGACCATCTTCAACAGCAGAACATATCTTCCCCAGTTAAACCATTTCTTTCATAGAATTAAAACAATAATCCATAGGATTTCGAGGTTGTTCGCCTAGCGCAACATAAATCCTCAACTTTTCGTTAGGTATTCGTATAGTTTTGTTGTACGATCTAAACCCTAACTCGTTTTAGGATTCTGAGGTTGTCGTTCGTTACGACCTAAATCCTCACATCTTTCGGGCCGTTTGTGCGATCGTTTTACACGAATGTAAGCCCCAATTAAATAAAATTGGCAGGATGAAACATTTGAATAATTTCTCCTCAAAACTGAGGCCAAACCATAGGGTAGACTGAGAAGTCACCGAGGATCTTTTCTGGATCTGTGGCATCCCTCTAGTTCTTCTTTCTTTGGATTCTGTAATAAATGTTCCAAACTTGAGCCATTCCCCTTTCACACCTCTTTGTCCGATTTCGTTGAAAAATTTCACTCTTTTGAAGTCCTTGAAGATAATTTTTCCTGATTTTTATCGAAAGTATTCTTAAGTAATTCGGTCATTTAAGATGTAATTAACTATAGAGGATTGCTTTTATAGGAAGCTTTTTCGAATCTAGCTTAAAATAAACCCTATTTAATTTTTCATATTAAATAAGAGAATTTATCGGCAAATAAAACGGTTTCGCAGACCAAACAGATGTTATGTATTTCTTAGTTTATTTGATTGAGCCTTATCCTCAAGTCTTGTTTTTATCCATCGAGATAGATACAGGGTTTGAGGCGCTCTTTCATTTAAACTATGAAAAATATGAGGTCAGTTTGATTTTCATATTTGATTTTAAATTTAAATCTATATATAAATTAAAGCGTCATTCTGAAACGGGCGACGAAATTTCGATTCCGGTGACCGACAGCTTCCTACGGGCAACTCCTCCCCCAATCCCACTTTTTATCGCCTACAGTGTCATATTTTCATTTAATTCTAATAGATTAAGATCATTTTTTATAAATTCCCAAGTCTTTTTAGGTCTACCTCTCCGTTTCTTAACATAAGTCGGATCTAAAACATCTACTCTCCTAATCAGATCATCAAATGGTCGACATTTATTGTGACTAAATCATCTTAGACGTTATTGTGACCAAATCATCTTAGACGACTCTCTCTAATCTTGTCCGCCACTGGAGCTACACCAACCCTATCACGGATATATTCATTTCTATTCATTTCTTTTTTGTCTCTAAGTGTCAAGCCACTCATTTCTTTTTTGTCTCTAAGTGTCAAGCCACTCATCCACCTAAGCATTTTAATAATATTATTTGACTGAAGCCTTGGAGCATAATGTCAAGGAATATCTTATTTTTTTATTTTTTTATTTTTATGATAACTTTTATCGTATTATAACCTATGACACACATAACAAAAAGATCCTTGAATTTAAAAACACCTAAATGGCAAATTAAAATAAAATTATTTTATTCCTCTGTGCCTTTAAATGGATGTAAGCTACATCCTAATTTATTGGGTTGGTATAAAATCAACAAGCCTATTAAACTATGTTTAATTATTGAACCTTCCAGTGAATGTAAGCCTCGTACTAAATCATTTGGATTGGCACAAAGTTAACAAAGATTTTATAAACAAACTTGGCTCTTCCAGTGGATTTTAACCTCTACACAAAAACTAAATATATGTTAGCTCTCGTGTTAAATAGCCAATCAACTAAAACCATATAAGCCAAAAATCTCATATGCATTTGACACTTTTCTATTAGTCACGCTGATACTTGTGAATATTTAGTGTATATGCCATGTATCTATGCTTTTGTCAATCATATTCTATACCTTTGAACAAAAAGCGCTTATGTTGTGAGCCTCTAAACTACCATGGGAAAGTGGTTGAACATGAGTGGTCAACTTCCAAGGCATATCTTTAACACAACATTTCCTCTATGGTGTGCCTGAGATCCTTGAGATGAGGGAACCTTTTATTTCTAATCAAGCTACATACATGTTTTGGGCGAAAACCTTCTAACATTGGCAATCTAAGTTCAATGTTATACTTGAGATGATAAAACCATGGGGGATCTAAATCAGCTAAGCTTTCATTAATGAAACTATTTCCTGTCAATTAATTTCAAACATTAATATTGAACCTTTGCCTAAAATTTGAGCCTTAATAAACTCCTTAATTTAAAATGCTCTTCCATGAATGAGAGGGATCATTAAGTATGAGAGTTTGTATTTATATGAAGTATGGATTCTATACCTAAATTAACTCTAATCTAAGCTTGAGAATTTGTTAAAATAATCTTATTCCACCTCAAAAAAGTCTACGTGTGAGTTCATTACATCAGGGGTGCTCGTGGAAAGTGGTGACATACATAAGCAATCAAGATGATGTTAAGCTTAAATTAGAGCTGTAATGCTTATTGATGACGTGCCTATTGGTAGTTCTCTATCCTCAATTGAAGATTTTGACTACTTCAGATAAACTATATTCATTTTGCATTGTTTCTAGATGCGATGTTTTGTCAAATATGGAAAATCTATGTCGTTGAATTTATTGTCTATATTTTATGTATTGCTAATACGAAATTGTAATTTATTGGATTTCTTTATGCAGATTTTGTCCGAAATACGCAGAACTATGGATTCTTGGGGCTTTATTGAAATTGAAACTCCAGTATTGCAGGTTCGTCTGCAAGATTTGTTTGTATTGCCTAATTAGTAACTGAGATTTGACTATTTTATTGTGCCATTAATTATTCGAATAATATATTTATGTTTTCAAATGTCTTGCATCATACTCTAGAGCTGGAACAGGGCACAAAGTTTTTTCAACTGAAATCCATGTTTGTGTAGTCAAGCATGATTCTCCTCAGCTAATAGGGGTCTAATACATTTAAATAGTTTTTTTTTTTTGCTTTATTAATATGTGTTCTGATCTCAAATGAATCTTTTGAAGATTGGGGTGTTGTAATGGATTTGGCATTTAGTGATAAAACTGGACTTACTGAAACATTTATTTGAGATAATCATAATGTTATGACTCTGTGTGCATTCCATCCATACGAATATCTCTGTCTGACTTTCTAACTGATCACGTTACAGTTTTCTTATGGTTAGTTCTATGTTAAAAGCTTAATGTTTTACATTGGAAAAAGCTTCCATGCCTGGAATATGTCTTATGTACAGCAGGGAAATGACTGTTTTCTGTTTCCTACCTTAGTTTTTGTGGACCGGTAGGAATGATTAGCATTTTGTGTTGAGTGCATCACATGGGGGAGTGCTGCCAGACTAGTATGCTGAGAGCATTGAATGTGGATGGATCTGCGCTGCCTAAACTGGTTGAAACTGGAAATTGTAAGGAAATAATGGGAACGAAGCCTTCTGAAATAGTGTAGCAGTTTCATATTTACTAGTAGTTGACCAGGAATTTCTCTGTATAAAGCAGAGATAACTTATAGATGGGGTGATTTCATATTTGTGTATTCAATGCTGAACAAATGAACCAAAATAGCCTTATTTTTTACTCATTGGGTGAACTTCCGATCAGAGCTCCCAGTTAACTTGGCCTTGCTCCCGGAGCCTCTCTGCTGTTGCTGTTCCTTAAGCGCCTCCATCCTTTTTCTCTTGTTTTTTCTTTAGATCGTTGGGAAAATAATGTTCAAAGTATACTTATATGGAGGTGACTAGGGTGTTCCCTCTTAAAACCTAAACAACTTATACATGGAGTGATTTTGTAATAATCTTGTATAATAATAATAATAATAATAATAATAATAATAATAATAATAATTTGGTTTTTGCGGTTTGAGCATCCATCTTGATGGTTTCGACAGGGAATAAACGAACCGAAGGGTCAACAGTTTGGGCGAGAAGGAGAGGAATCATATGCGCAATCCTGGCCGAGCCTTAGCGTGTGTATGCTAGAAGAAGCTGCATGTGGAAGGCCCGTCAGAGCACTTGTGCGTGTTCAGTGAGGGAGTAGGTGACAAGAGCAAGACTGCGGCTTGTGTGAGGAGGAAGTCAAGCCGATTTCGTGCTGTTGTATTGTGTGCTCTGTGTAGAAGTGTGAGGTGAAGAAGAGGGCAAAGAAAGAGAGCCATGCGGGCTGTATGTGTGAAGGAAACAAATGCTTGAATGCTGTGTGCTTGGTGTTAGGCTTCGTACGAAGGAAGAGAAAATGATGTCATGCCTTAACCGAATGAAGGAAAAGGGAAGGGGAGTTAGAAGTGAGAGGCTCTGCATGCGGATGAGGGAGTGACTGTGCAAAGGAAGATGTGTAGAGGCGAGCTGCATGTGGGAAGGATGACCGAGCCTTTGAGAAAATGTCACGACCCGGTCAGGAGCTTTGAGTTAACCAAGATGGGTACAGACGTTCGGACAGTGGAAACTAAGTTTGTTGTAATCATTTAACATTTAACAAATGGAAGTGCTGCTAGTCAAAATAAATTAAAGCAATATAATTCAATTTATCTCATTTCAGGTTGTCTGTGTCTTCTATGAACATTTTCTCTTTTTTGCTCATCTTTTAATCACTAAATTAAACATGAAATGTTAATTTAAAACAACATTAAGATTAAATAATGCTAGTGAATACTCATATTATTAAACTATAGTAATATAAGGGGAAAGAAAGTAATATGCATGTCAGTTAAGTTTTTAAATAAATCAATATAAACATTTGAGATGCTATTGAATGAATCTTATTATATTAATAACATATCAGTATCATTCTTTATCTGTACGATCGTCACAAAAACACCGTCTAAAAATTGTACCACTTAATGTACTTAATAGTGTACTTAATAGCAATATCTTTTTTCATTTACATGCACGGGTGCTTTAGCGTTCCTTCGCTAGCATCATAAAGGGTGAATTCATCATAGTTAGCCATACACATTTAAGCAGCCAATATAAACATATAATTCATGTGCTCATTACATTCAATTCAATATACTATATACAACATACACTGATGCATGATAGTAAGTAGATACAAACATTCATAACAATATGACCAGTAAAGAAAATAACATAAAAATTTAAATAAAGCTTGTACAAGTATCTACTAATGCAAAACAGTAGAGAAGTACAAAATATTGTCATAGATTAAAAGTACGAGTGCTCACCTTAATGATAGACGGTCTGCTTGCTCTTAATTTGTATTACTTATATCAAATTATCACCTATAAAATATAAAATATTCAATTATTATTTTACTTAATTATATTTTAATTTAATTATCAATTATGGTTATATTGCACTATTATAAGATTTGATACTTAAACTTTTAAGTTTAATTATTATAATTAGTATTAATATAAATATTGTTAATTTATACAAAAATACTCTTTGAATATAACATTACTTTGGTCCCGACACACTTTCTTCGATGTAGAAGTAAAACTTATAGCCTGAATCACATGCGCATAAGTTTAATCATTTAAATAATAAACTTATATAATATATAAATAACTGAAATAAACTCATGGTTGAAAAACCTCTCTCACGCATGCAACATTCCCTTTCTCCTTCGGCTCCTTGCATTCTTTGTACGAGAGATCCGGATCAAGAGCTTTGGCTTCGGCTCCTTTCCGCACGAATGCACGAACTCAACCCGTCGCCTCTTCCTCCTCTACTCTTTGACTGCACACATGAGAACTCCCGCTTGTCCTCTTTCTTCTTCGATCGGCCAGGGCACGGGCTCTCCTTCTACACTGATGTTACTTGCCGCTCCTTCCTCCTTCGTTTGTGTCGAAGGACTCTTCTGGTAATTTGTTAGAGTTGGCTTCTACCTCTCGATCACCCTTTGTCTCTCGTCAATTTATAGGGCAAACTTACTTTCTTGGCTTCCCACCCCTCTCGCTTCATCCCTCCCCTCTTCAGCTTCCCGACCTTCTCGCTTCATCCCTCCCTCTATGGGTGCTTGACTAATCGCTTCCTCCTTTGTTCGACACTTCGATTCCTCTCCCAAGTAATAGAAACAGGACTTCACAATCTTCCCCACTTATAAAACATTTCATTCTCGAAATTTAAAAACAAACCACGAGCCGTTTCTCTGCAAACTATCTATTAATTTTCTGATAAAAACTAGCGGTAATTCATTAAGATGAAAAATAATCACTGTAAGTAAAGATCCGATACCAGACGACTCGACTATACTTCGGATAACATGTAGTTATTGAAGCACAAAAATATGCTAGGAAAACACCCTTATATGTTAGAAAACATCAAACTCATCGAACCTTATCACCGTTAGCAAGAGTGGGTTCTTCAGGCTCACTATGAGTGAGGTAGTAAACTCGAGGTCGAACAGATTGCCTCGATTGATCTTGGGTAGGAACTGAAGCTGCAGACTATCATTTTCTGTCTATCTGCAGTATTCTGTGAAGGAGCTCCGCCTGATTTCTGATATTCAGTACTCTTTTGTCCAAAGCGAAGGGCAATATCTTGCTTTATGACAAGACGAACGACACTAGTAGCAAGTGTTAGAGCCTATCAAATATTCACCCTTATGTTGTCTTCCACATTTGGTACAAGTAACTACATTACTTTGAATCGAACCCCCTTTTAAGTCCACCTAAATTGTTTTTGGAAATCCTCCCATTGGATCTCTATGATTCATCCTCATGTTCTCTTTCATCAGCACTTTTCCTCTTTTGCGCCTCCTTACGCTTCTAAGTAAGCTGATAGTCGCTCTCCACTCTTTTAGCTTGTTCCACCAATACCGAGTATTCATCAAGTCCTAAAGGCAACAACCACTGTCGAATTGAATCCTTTAATCTTGAAAAAAATATGTAGCACTTTTCTTCTGCAATAGCGATCAACTGTGGCACATATCTAGACAGTGCAACAAATTCAACTTCGTACTATATCACTGTCTTCTCTCCCTGCACTAACTTGATGAACTTGTCCTGCATTTGTCTTTGAGTGGATAGGGGTATGAACCACTCTCTAAAAAGCTCCACGAACTCCCCCCAACTTATCATCATGTTGTTTATATCCCCCAACCTGTTTTGACGCTACCCACGCAACCACCTCTCCGCTTCTCCATCCACGCAAAAGTAGCTAATGATATTCTTCTTTCATTTCAGACAAGGCATGATATCTAATATCTTCTCTATCCTTATTAACCAGTTGTCAGTTTCAATCGAGTCTTTAGTTTTCTCTGAATAAAAGTGAATGCAAATATTGAGAAATTCTCAAATACTTATCCACAACAACTGTATCATTTTTGATAGACTGTGATCAGAACGCCTGAATCAGTTTATTCATCGCCGCTATCATCTGGGTTAGGACATTTGTCATTTTATTATCACTCTTCTATAATTTTGGGTGTATCATTACGCCCAAACATATAAAAGTATTAATTTGAGTTAATTTATAATTTTTCTTATAATTATCTTGTTATCTCTTTCACTAAGATTTCATGAGTGAATCCTAAATTTTGTCTCTGATATCACTTTTGTCATCCTAGCCAGGCGTTTAGAATCAACTAAGTTGGGTACAGATGGTCGGATGGTAGGAACTGGTTTTCTAAACTCATTTGACATTTAATAAATGAAAGAACCACTAATCAAATTTAATTAAAATAGTCTAATTAAATTTACCGTATTTCTAGTTGTTCGCGTCTTATATAAACATTTATCTTCTATCGCTCATCTTTTAATCACTTAATTAAATCTG